CATTATTATTATTATATTAATCATTATGATCTGTCGACATTACACAACAAGTCAGAGCTCAGATGGTTTTATGCAATCGCCAGCGCCATGAAACTTACAATACCAAAACGAATCTTGTTATTCAATATGGTTACAAGCTAAAGGTTGTGTAACGAAATTATATATATTCAGTATTGAGTCGCCTATCTCAGTAGAGAGCGTGCCGTCACGTGACACCTTATTGTTGTAAGGATAGTAGAGAATAACACCCTCTTTCACTGTGAACGAACACGCATTGACGAGCAGTAAAAGAACAACAAACATATCTAAATGCACCCTATATATATATATATATGCTAGCGAGCAACAGAAACGCAAAAAACCCATTTTGGTCATAACTAAAAAAAACCCATCTATGGTAGAAAACTGAAGTTTAAACCATCGATAGTATGTCATAGCCTCTTTGAAAATCAAAAGTAACCCGTCCTAATGGTATTCGGCAACTAGAGTTATTGCTCCTTAATTGAAGCATGGAAAACGTTACGTGGTGTCTTCGAAACACGGTCTAAATAAAAGAAAAAAAGGTGAAAAATATTCACTTGAGATGGGATATAAAAGCGGTGGTAAAAATCGGTTCTGCCGTTTCGCCTGCATTTGCAACGACGATGCAACGTTTTTGATCTATACTGCAAGAAGGAGCAATAGGCTATTGCGAGGGTTGGAGAAATGCCAATTGTGGTCGCCGTTTTCAGTTCACGAATTTTGTGGTAGATCGAAAAAGGTCAGGTCGATCCAGAGTGACCGATGCACGTGCATACAGACACATTATCCGGATGTATCGTTCAAATCGACATCCGACAGCTATAAGAACATCAGATTTGATAAGGAGTACCCAAGGAAGAACCAGAAATCGACTCATAGTGAACCGACTATTGCGTCAGATAGGCTGTAAACACCGTCAGCCTTATCTTGGTCCAGTCTTGTCCGCTCACCATTGCCAAGAGCGTCTCAGCTGGGCTCCCCACTATGTCAATAGCCGTATAAGAGACTGGTCCTCGGTTCTCACTTTCAGACAAATGCATTTTCTCCATAGATACAACAAACAGGGGCCTCAAAGTTTATCAAGATGGAGGCGAACGTTATCGTCACGACTGTGTCATAAAGAGGAATCACTGGGGAGGACATCACGTCATGATCTGGGACGGATTCATGTGGAACCACAAAGTAGGACCAATGATCTTCCAAAATCAAGGCCAAAGTCGAGGTCGAGGTATCAATGCTGCCCGCTGCATAGCAGAAGTTTTTAGGCCCCTCAACACAGACAAAATTCTAACTTCCGGTTTCAGAAAAATACTGCTTGTACTCACACTTCCCGTGTTACACAGGATTTCCTCCAGCACTATGTGGTCACTCTGCAGCCTCACCCTGCCCTTAGCACGGATGTAAACCCAATTAAGAATTTTTAGAAGAAATTAAACGACACATGAAGGGAAGACAACCAAGGCTAAGAATCACACGCAGGAACAGAATGTGGCCATTCAGGAGATATGGAGGCAGATGCTATTACGTTTTACTAACAACCAAATGGCTTCCTTGTACGGCAGTTTTAAAAAGACTGTCAGGGGCGTTACTGAAATTGATATGTTTGTTTATCTTAATGTATGTGTTTTTACACCTCGATCGACACTGCGGTTATCCGATCTACTTGTGGCAATAACCACTACTGAGTATTTCGATGCATTAACCGGAAGTTGATAGTGTATTCCGTTAAATTGTAATATTTGCAGTGATGCCCCGCGTATCTTTTCATAATGCCAAAACATTTTTTGCGTTTAAATTCCCCTGTTTTGTTAAAAATGGAAAACAAAGATGCTCACCATTGCAAAGGTGAAAAGGAATTTGGGCTTCTCTTGCTTGCTTGCAGTAATATATATATA